TAAAATTTGCTTGAAGCCGGAACCCCTAAACCTTAAACCCTTTCTGAACTCGAAGCCCCAAAGCCATAAAGCCACAGGGCTGCAGGCGATCGAACGCAGCCTTCTGTTTGCGGTCCTTGGGCCTTGCTGCAAGGTTTGCGGCTCTGGATGTAGTGTGCAGGGCCTGGGCTGCTTCAGGGACCGGGTCTTGAGGAAGGAAGACGAAGTGGGGTGTAGGGCTCAAGTCCTCAAACCCAGAAGTTTAGTCTGGATGCTTATTAATGTCCCAGTGCCACCCCGCCGAGACCCAGCGACCGAGCCCAGGAGTACTTGCTGCTTTCTGGAAAGGCCAAAAGCGTTGGCACCCAAGGTCTCAGCTTTCCTTCAGCTCGCTGTTCAGAGGGCTCCTCAATGTTCGTCTTGGTGCCCACCTTGTCAAAACCTTAAGCCCCTTCACCCGTAGACTCGCACGTCTTCGATCTGCGTCAAATAACTCCCTGCTAGATGTGACGCAGTGTCCGGTTCAAGGACTATAGGGCGGGCCTGCAAGCGACACTGCGGAGAGCGGGAGTTGCAGGAGTCACGAGGTGTTGTATAATGTTCAAGCCGCCGGATGCCTATGCATGGGGCATGGGTAATGCACTAGAAGCAGTTCCAGTTCTCCCTCCCTCCCAAGCTCGAAAAATCAAGCGTTTTTGCCGTAAGCATTCTGAAGATCAGAGGCATCCTCCAAGCCTGGAGCAAGCGCACACCGAAACCCTAGATTCCTCTCTTCCAAGCAAGCTGTAGACTTCCATAGTGGCAGAGCAAAGTTCAGCATCCTGGCTGTCCGGTTTAGCCTGAACGTTTTGGTGTCTTGCTTCTTCAGATGTGGCGTGACTCGATCAGGGAGCTATTCTGTTGAGTTTCGGATGGGTTCTTGACTTGTTCTGATCGGAAGCTCCGAGTTGTCCTAAGAGCTGTCGGTGTCCATCTTGCTTTACCACTCGGGGCGGGGTTCCGAGTAGTAGCATTTATTGGATAGTGAATTCGATTGTTGTATGAGCCTCTACACTGGAAACATACTCCCTGTACAGTGTAACAGTGTAACAACAGAACAGACGGCTCCACCCGATTTTGGATAGCCTCGTTTGCAAAGAAACCCGCCCCCTTGCGAAACGCATTTGGTGAACTGAGTCCACAGCCCATAAGCTGCAAGTTAGCAAGGCGAGACCTGAGCCATGAAACCTCAAATCATCGAGATTTGCAAGTCAAGGTGCACGGTTAGGTAGCAGTCTCAGACCGCTCTAGCCGGTATACTGCATTGGAAAGCAAGGCGTTCAGCTGCAATCATGGGCATCTGGCACAGTTACCAGCCATACTGATCGCCCGACACCCCTGCAATGCTTGCTGCGCCCGTGCCGAGCAATGGCGCCACAAGAGTGCCCTGCCTGCACTTGACTTAGACAGTTGCTGAACTGCGTGTACAGAGAATTGATACAGTAGCCAAATGACCGCAAAGTGATCCCAACACAGAATCCATTGGTAAGCTTCGGAGGCATGCCAGCCTGGAATGTACAACTCGCACAGGACCAGCCTGTGCCCGATTCAGAACCACGTCATTACGAAAGGCACCAAGAAGAAACGCATCAAAGCGTCTCCACATCAGGGCGTTTAAGTAAGGATCCCAGTGTGCGATCGACAGTCGAGGTGTGAAACTCCTTCTGACAGTTGGTTCATGCGTTCCAGAACCCGAGAAGGACGAATGCTGCACCTGATAGCTGCCGTTCGGTTTACTTCTGTGATGACGACTGGTACCCCAATTTTCACCATGCCTATTGTGGTCACTTCCAAAACCATTGCTTTTGTGCGTACTTGTTACTGCTGCTGCTGGTGGTGGTGGTAGTGGCGGCAGTGATCGCACCCTTGCCATGATTGCAACTTCCTAAAGACACATACAAGTCCTGAGGTGGCGTCCCCAAGGGGGAGTCAGGCCCTGCGCGAAGCCGACCTGTTCAGGAACCCGGGACCTGGAGATTTGGAGATGCGGGCTTGTGCTGTCAAGGATCCTGAACCCTGCACATCCCTGCACCACTGCACCTCCTAATCGGCAACCAGAGACCCAAGCCAAGAATCCAAATCTGCAGCAAAGCAGAGCCATCCAAGAATGAAGCCACAGATCCCACAATCGAAGCCCACCCTTGCACAGGGGAGCAAGCAAAGCTGTGGAACTGCCAACTAGTTGAACTCCTGGATGAGCTGCTCCAATCTCCTCGGTAGCTACAAGAGCCATCGCTTTGTGTGATGGCTTTCTTGAAGGGGTGGTGCAGCCACGAAGTCTTCCTCAAAGCTCTCAAGATGGTGAAGTAGCGAGTTTTTATAGCCATATCACGTCATGATGTGTGATTGACCACTGCAGCCCGAAGGACATGCTTGCAGCTTCGGAGGCAGCAGCGCAGCCTGCCAGCAACTGTTGGGTCCTCTTGGCGTCAACTTGTGACTTGTGCACGGATACGATGGGTAGGGATTTCTTGACATTGGTGAAGCACTGCTCTTTCGGTGCGGTCGTTGGCACCCTAGGCCGTTCAGCCCACAACGGTAGCTGGATCCATACACCTAGACCATCACCTCAACCAAGCCATCCTCACCTACGCCGTTCAAGTCTGTGTCAAAAGACGCCCTGCCCCTTTCGCAGGGGCCCGGCTCCTCGCCGATGCACGCCGTGCCGGCAACGCAGTAGAGGCCGCGACTCCCGAGCAATCTGAGTTTTTTGCTGAGACCCTGCCGCTTTCACAATTAGGTCTCACTATGCCCGAATGACCGAGCTATATTGAGTCGGGCTTTTCAGGATCGGATCCTGGGTTTTGGATTCGAGCCTTCTGGTTTTTGAAGGCTTTCGGCGCTACCTCTAAGGGCACTCTTGTTTTGTGTGTCGCCCTATGTCGACTCTGGCTCAAAACTACAGACTGCACGTCGAGGCATTCTGGTTGCAGGCTTCCCAGCCATGAGCCCGACTTCATGTGCACTGTGCTTGTAAGTGAGTTGTTCTTTGTGCTTGCAGTGCTGTGACAGCATGCCGGCCAAACCCCTAGACCACAATTCTAAATCTTTGACCCCGAACGCAGTGAATGCCCCGGTGGCGATGCCAGGATCTAGAAGCACCTGAGTCTCCAAATAGTAACCACAAGATCGTCGCCCTACTTTTAGGATTTCAACAGTGACCCCGATAATCACAATTTCAAGAACTCCCCAAGTTTAGCCCCCAAAGACCTCAAACCAAGCTCCCAAACATTGGACTCTAGGCCCTAGACCTGGAACTCCAACCCGCAGCTCCATCTCCGGTTGCGGACTTGTTCCATTTCGTCCAGCTGTGAGGCGGTTTCCAGCTAAGTTGGAAGAATGAAGCCTGCATTGAGCGAGTGTGAGCATCGAAACCCCAACCCTAGGTCCCTAAGCCCAAAGCCTCGGCTTTCAACCGTGCAACGATCCCGTGAAGGCTGCTGACATAGCTCTGATCTTCGCTGCTCGGCATGAGCTGGGCTGAACTATAGACTTCCCCACAACCCTACACCGGGGTTTAAAAAGTTGCTTTTGTAAAGTTCCGTTTTTGAAGTTGACCCAGGGTTATCTAGATCCGCACCGTTTCGCGAGCTTCCAGCTGGGAGGCAAACGGCACGTTTAGCAGTTCATGGTATGACCGACCGGAAAGGAGCCACAGGTCAGGAGAGTCTCCAGCCCTGCTCTTCTGCATTTTGGGGCCCTACGTACTACAGGATTGTCGTGCAGCCATAGGAAGCCTATAGGCAGTCAGTTCAACCCCAACTGCGGTTTGTCTTGGCTCCGCAGACAGGTGCGTGAAATAATGTACGGGTGGGTGCATCGATGGATGGACGGACATGTCTAGTGTCCCATCTTGTCTCTAACCAGATGTACAGAGTGCTGTAGCTTGATGGAACAGCGCACTCGGGCGCTCGAAGCCACGATGCTGAGCGCAAAGGTCTTGCCTGAAGCCCCGAAACTGTGAAGCCCGATCGCAAGCCCGAAGCAACTGAGAAGGCCTTAGATCGCACGGACTTCGCACTGCAGCAGCTGAGGCAGTCTCGGTTGGGTTCGGGGTTGCTCTTTCATGCTTGCCAGCTGACGCAGCGTTCAGTTCCTTTGCAAGTTGAGTTGGAACACCACAAACAGTCAACAACGAAGAACTTGCCTTTTGCACGTCTCAGACCTTCGCAAACCCCACAGCAGGTCATTCAAAGGAAGCGAAGCGCTGCCTCTGGACACGCCGCTGCAGCTGAATTTGCATCGAGCGCACACTCGTATGCTCGATGTTTTCGTTGCCCCACACACGATTGCGGGTCAAGAGTGTGTTTCCTATCTTGTTGTTTTTGCAGGTTTGTGTTGTGTGTGTGAGTCTGTGAGTGAACCCGTTATGGATGCGATCGGGCCCCGGTTTCGTAGCAGATGTGGTGGCGGAGCTCAATACAGCATGCGTTATAGTTCCCTGTTTGCTTGTGGAACTCAGGGTGTTGCGTCGTTGCGTGTGTATGTGTGGGTTGGTTTTGGTCTAGAAACGTCTGGAAATGCGAGGCTCGGGCTTGAGGATGGTTGAAGGAGGTTTAGGCTGTGTCGTTGGCATGCTTCCTCCCATGTGCCATATAGTTACCGCGAAAGACTGCATGTCATGCATGAGCCTGGGTAATGGAGAATGCTTTACTTTAGAGTTCCTGAATACAGGTATTGTTACGGACTACCAGCAAGCCAGGGCCAGCCAACAGAAGCAGGGACCCAATGCCCGAACACTGTCAGTACAAAGCACTGACTCGGCCAAACCCTGAAATCGGAATGTGGCCCTGGCTCAAGCTTACGTACAGTCTCCTGAGTCTGAACCACGACGAAAGGTGGAGCAGATGCAAGCAGCTATTCCCACTCACTTGCGACATTCCGAAGCACCACCTGCATTCGCGCATGTTGCCCTCCAAGTGCCAGGCATCGTTCATGTCTCCACGAACACTTCCGTACACATTCCTGGTCAGCAGGGCGCAATGTCGCAGCATCCACAATTGCAGACGAGAGCTTTGGCTGACTTCGAAAGCTGCTCCGAATACGAGGAGGAGGCAAAGAGAAGCCTCTCTGAATCCAGCTGGGGCTATATAGCCGGAGGGGAGAGCGACACCATCCAGCGCAACCTGGATGCTTTCAAGTCCTTCGCGCTGCGACCGCGGATTCTGCGAGATGTCTCTCACATCAGTGTTGACTGCCGTATCTTCGGAAAGCGCTGTGCAACTCCGATATATCTCAGCTCACTTGCCAAGGGCGGCTTGGTTTCCAGTGGTGGCGAGGCTACCTTCGTCCGTGCTGCGGCCAGGTGTGGGACCAGGTTCATCGTTCCGTCCATATCAAGTGTTCCCCTGCGTGATGTATGGGCAGCATCCGAAAGTTGCGATCTGGCTTTCCAGTTCTACCTTCTGGGAGACGAAGCTTCCAGTATCGAGCGGCTACAGGAAGCGATTTCGCTCGGTGCATCTGCCATCGTTGTTACAGTTGATGCCAATGCTCCTCGAAAGGGTGCGCTTTTCCGGGCGACGGCTGGTGCGACGGGGGTCTTTCCGAGCCCGAGGCTGTCTTGGTCTCGACTGGCGGAGCTCAAGGCAATGCTGCCAAGAGGGATGCCGATGTATTTGAAGGGAGTCCAGACCGCGGAGGATGCTTTGGAAGCTGTAGCGCTAGATGTGGCAGGCATCATCGTGTCGAACCATGGGGGTCGAGCATGTGCAGATTCGATGGCGGCCTTGCACTGCCTGGAAGACGTAGCTTCAGCTCTGCGTGCTGCGGGGGTGCTTGGGAAGATCGAGCTTTACTTCGACAGTGGTGTGCGGAGTGGCCGAGATGCTTTGAAGGCGTTGTGTCTTGGAGCCACAGCTGTTGGGATCGGCCGTCCGTATTACTGGGCCGCCGCTTGCCACGGAGAAGATGGTATCGTAGCCCTCTTGCAGATGCTCACTTCAGAGCTGCAACATGCGATGGCTCAAATCGGTGCAAGCACTTTGCATGTACTGTCTCCTGACAGCTTGTGCCGCGTCGTGCCGGCACCTTCCAGACTGTAAAGATACGGGTTTCGGAACACTGATCCACATGCAGGGAGGCCCACGGCGTCGCCGAGGTGACAATGAGGACTAGTGCAGCTGACTGGCGTGTAGTGAGCTAGAGACCTTTGTGTTTCAACCTGCTTTGGATGTAGCATCATGGGTAGACAAGTGCATGCAGGTCCCAACAGCTGGAGATGATTTTGCCGAGGTCTAGGTAAGCCAGATCTGCTGTATCCTGCACCTTGTCAACCTGAGTTGAGATATCCAAGTAAAGCTCGGTCCTGTGCTGGCTGGTGGATAAGCTGTGGTGTTGAGCCTCAGTTGTTTGTTATTCCACTCATGACTGTGAGAGTCCACCTGGCACTGGAGTTGAGCGGAGATCCCTGCTGGACACGGCTGCACTGTCCCTTGAAAGCTGATGGGTAGGACCAACGTGAGGTTGTGTGTCAATGCTGGCTATCTATGGTCGGTTGTATGTGTTATAGTTAAGGTCCCTTGCCTCGTCAGCCCGACTTGTGCTGCTCGGGTCGATCTCAGTCCAGTGCTTGCCTACAACGGTACTGAACAGTGGTATGTATGTGGCTGGCGCAGTGTAGGTATTAAGCAGTTGTTTGTATGTGGCTGAAACACTGGAACTGAGACTCATCTCTTGCAGGGCCAATGGAAGGTTCGTTCGGAAACTTTTAGGTTAGTATGGAGGAATGAGGTGGCATGGTGGTGAATCCTTTTGTTCCATTCTTGGCCTCAGTCTGACAGATTTCCGACTACAACTTGTGGCAGGGGGAAAAGGAGCGACAAAAAAAGCGGAAAGAAGAAGATGGCTGTCCACGCTAGCAGTATCGTCCTCAGTTCAACACACTTGCCTGACATCTCATGCCACGAAGGCCTACTCAATACCGACGTGCCAGCACATGTCTGCGGCTAGGTCCGAACCTCCCTCCTTCCGTCCTTCCCTTCTTCCCTCCCTCCTCCCTCCTTCCCCCTCTCTCTCGTTGTCTCTCGCTCTCTCTCTCTCTCTCTCCCTCTCTCTCTCTCTCTCTCTCTCTCTCTCTCTCTCTCTCTCTCTCTCTCTCTCTCTCTCTCTCTGTCTCGCTCTCTCTCTCTCTCTCTCTCTCTCTCTCACCTTCTCTTCTTGTCCTTGGAACTCAAGGCCAGTGCGCTTCTGGGAGGACCGCGACTGGCGTTCCAGGTCAACGAAGTCCCAGCAGGCTGCGCCTACACGCCTTCACGCTTGCTTCTTCGGGAGATGTTCCTAGGCACTACAGGGCTTCTCATGTCTTATGCTGGATCGACCCAGGCTAACTGTTGATATCAGTTGACAGTAGAATCCACACATCTACAATACAAGGATATCTTCACCCGCAGGAAGCGGGGACTTGGCTTCCGGTTTTGAGGAAGTAGGGCACATGGGATTGTTTGGATTCTGCGGCTTGTGCGCCTTCCTCAGCTCTTATTCTTCTGTAGCCGTGGACTGTGATGTCCGGTAGTCGATCCAAGTTCTAACACCCGACAGCAAAAGCCAAAAGGTCGCTTCGTGAGAGCTACAAAGCCTGACGAAACTCAGAAGTTCCAGACCTAGCATGAAGATCGCGATGAAGGGACCGCATCAGGTGCTGGCGCAACGACGCAAGCTCCGTGAGGCAAGACGTTGAAACTGCCAGCTTGAAACCTCGAGTTCGTAAGAGTAGATGCTCAAGCCTGACTAGTTTTGAGTTTCGGAGTTGGCCCGTATACTGGTAGCGGATGTGCAAGACCGCAATACCAAGCATTGGCCTAGCCTGGTCGCAAGGCAGAAGTTTTTGACCAACTGCAGTTTTTCGAGTGCCCCACTGACATGAAAATGGCACCCAGGGATCCTATATGCAGTAATGCGGGCTTCCTGTCGTATCCGAACTACTTACTTGTCATGTTTCAGTCTCGTTGACGTCGGCTGTATTCTTGTCAAGATTTCTGTTCGAGTTCTGGAGATTGCAAGTTGCAAACTCGCAACAATACGAGACAGAGAGCCCTCCCAACTTGCGGCCAGAACGCACAGCAGCAGGATCTAGACGAGCAGTGGTCGCAAGCGCAAACTGCTGGGAACTCAGGTGGTCAAGGGAGAAACGTTTCTTAGACCGGATGTGCTCCAGATCTCCGGCCATGGACTGGGGTTGCGAGAACTTACTGCTTAACGCTGAGATGTTCTCAGCATACCCGCGGGATCACGCACTGCCCGGCAAAAGGACGCATCTCCAGTGGCTAACACCATTCAACACCCAAAACGATTCAGTCGAAAGCACCAACCCTACTCTCCACTTCCCCCCAGGCGCTGAACCGCATTCGCGCCTGCGGCACGCTTTGCAGAATCGCAGGCGACATGGCTCAAGGGCTGCTTCGATTCCTCAAAGTGTAAAAAGAGCTCACCAGCTATGTTATGCGTTTGTACACACATTTTTTGTCGGACTCGATGTGAGCGTTGTCCTTGCGATTCTATGTAAGATGACTCTCGATGCGGGATTGTCCGGTTATACATACGGATGTAGATGCATGCATGCATGAATACATACATATTTATACATATGTATATTTATACATACTTATATATATATATATATATGTACATGTGTTCGTATATGTATGCACACACATAACCATACATACAGCATGCATCTGATAGTTTTGGTACGCACCTCCTCTCCCTCCTCTATGCAGCTCAGGCCCCGAGGATCCCTGAGTCGCTGGACCGATGTTTACAAGCCTTGCACGGAAACCCGCTTTGAAAGCCCGTCGATTTGGCGTTTGGTGGAGTATTAATCCACGCGGCTTCTCGCACAAGCTCGACATTGCTTACTCAACCACAGAGTTTTGGGGAAAGAACTCTGTGTGTGTGCGAAGGGTCTTGCATGCAATCTCAGTAACTGTGGGGATCAAGTCTTCCGGAAACTTATGCATCGCTCATTACATATTACAGAGCCTGACAACGGTCCACTCCGAGCTCGCCAAGAATGCTTGGCACTATAATACACACACACAAAAAAAATATATATATATATATATACAGGTAAGGGTATACATTTGTATATATAGTACCTCACAAAGGTGTCGGCAGTTCTCGGTGCCGGGACCTTGCAGCCGTTCTCGAGCGCTGCGAATCGGCACTGAAGCTCGGAGTGAATTCCAGAAGGCTTGTTGCTGTTTTCACTGGTTTCGGGTTTGAGGACCCTAAGAGCTCGTTAACTTCTGCAGCAGTTTTCGTCGTTCGGCCGTCGTTGGCCATACTCTTTCGACAGCACTGGCACTCCGAGCCCAAACGCTACGAGGTTGCAGAACACGTCCAAGTGCGGCACTGCGCAGGACCGGGCTGCCACAATAGCATTGGAGCATGACTTTATTGTTTACAGCAGCTCGTCTCGCTAAAGGTTGGCCTCGGCATGAGTTGCGTTTGAAGGCATTGTCCTTAAAGAAAAGAGTTGCAGACGATGGCAAATAGCCTGCTGCATTTTTGTTAGGCAGCGGCGCAGTGAAGTTCTCGTTTTGGACGCGTCATACGTTTGCCGCGGCTCATGCCTACAGCCTACATTATATGTGTTGCCATCTTCTCTGACAGCACATCCTGTGCCGTGCTTGCAGAAGCTAGTTTACCCACATTCAGGGAGCACGGTGGTTAAAAGAAGAAAGAACTGTTGTCTGTAGGGTCCTGGTAAGCCGCAAAACTTGAACACTGTGTGGGAGCTTGTGGACGGTGAGGACCAGCCTGCTAATTGGCCAAAGTGCTTTCATCGTCGTCCGGTAAACCTCGCCAGGCATGTCCCAGTTGTGAATGCTGAAACCCTGGCCCTGACCATGTAAGGCTTTGTAAACCCTGTAAATCTTGTAAAACCCTATTATCAAAGCCCATCAAAGCCCCATAACACCCAAAGAGCCTATGAGGCCCTGTGGAAAACGCCCCATAGAATGGCAGGATCTGGCGGACGATCGCCCTGCCGAAGCCCGGTCTGAGGCGTTGTCGGGGTTCGGGGTCGGGGGTTTCGAGTTTTGGGTTTAGTTTTACAAGATCACTATTATTTAATAATCAGGATTCAGGCCTTTGGCTCCTGGGAGTTCTTGTAAGTTTAGTTGTATAGGGCTTTCGGAAATGGGCTAAGGCTCCAAACTGTTTTTGCATCTGATGCGCGCAAGGCGTTAAAGACCACCACGGTGTGTCTTTATGATGTTTAACGTCTGGGTGACCAGGATAACGCAGATTTTAGTCTATGACGTGGTTTCGAGCGTGTGATCAATACCTTGCCCCTGCCTCTCATCAGCGGAGGAAGATGTGAAAACTCCGCTTGCAGAGACACCGCCAAAATCCAAGATCTGTACCGGAGAAGAACGCAGTGCTGAATGCTAACAGCGTACGTAAGGTATGCATGGTCACCATGACTCTCGCCGCTGCCATGCGCACCACACCCCTCCGCCGCCGCTACTGCACGAACCGCGATTACGATTGCTCAACATTTCAACGGCTTGTCAACGGCATCGTAAAGTGTAAGGGTCATCATCACAGTGATAGGAAGCGGTCGTAGCACGACAACTCCCAGTAATTGATGCTCATAGCGTTGGTGCTGAAGAGGGAGATAATTGAATGGAACTTAACCTGACAGGGTCAGAATCCTGCTGCCGATGATGAGGGCTAATGATGATGGTGATGATAGTACGAACGGTAGCTGTGTTGCCTGTGGTTGTTATAGTTGAGCTGAGTTGCTTTGCACGTGGTTTCGAGCTGCTGCTTTCGCTGCACGACTTGTTTCTGAAGGAAGCGTTTCTGGGCTTCTCTTGCACATGCTGTATTCGAAGTATCTTTGCTTGCGAGCCCGTGACCGCTCAGTTGGTACTGTTGGGTTGCCGTGACGACTCCTACTACTTAAGTGAATGGTGAACGGCTTGCAGACCTTGCGCTTCCAGACATGCCGATGATCTCACCCTATATTACGGCCGTATGCCAGCATTCCGAAGAGCCGGCTCAGGTTTGGTGGAATTGAGGCGTCGCGGCAAGCAGC